TGGCGATATATACCAGGCAATGGATGAAAAGGAGGCAGGCAGGTGGCAAAGGAGTGCTGACTTTTTCCAGTTCCTCTCTGCTCCCTTGTGCACCCTCTGTGATGATGCCGGGAGCTGCAATATAATGTCAATCCAGCAGGGGTGGCTCTAGACTTTGCGAGGCCTTAGGCGAAACTCAAACATGAGGCCCCCCACTAACACCATTAGTGGAAAAAAAAATTAGGGGTTGTTTTGTGTGTGCATAAGGAGCTGTACCTATATTGAATGGCGAGCTTGCAGCTTTGAATACCTAGATGTAATCTCTGTATTCATCTTCAGAGGCTTGCATTGTCGCACCTCCCTATGCCGCTGCGTTGTGAGCACTTTGACCATAGATATGGCATAATTTGCTGATCATTTATACATGATTGCTGGGAATGGTTGTATAGCCTGGCAGTCTTGTATACATAAGTGCCAGTGTGAAGGGGTTATTTGAAAAATGAACAATTGGTTGGGCTTTTAAAAAAAAAAAAAATAATAATAAAGTTACAGATTGGAAAACAATGTCATAGACATTTCCCCACATATTCTAAATTCCTTTACATGGAAAATTATCATATATGTGTTTCCCCATGTATTGTATATGTATGCATGCATTATATATATATATATATATATATATATATATATGTTGCTTGCAACTTAATCTTTGCATTGCCCATATCATACCAAAACCACATTGCAGACAGACACGAACACATTTAAACATTAATACACAAATACATATACACACTGATATATGCACATGCATACACACAAACACACACACACACACACAGATGCACAGAGACAGATATTGACTAATACAGACATACAGACACAATGTGTTTATCTGGCTGACTGTGTGTATTTCTGAATGTGTCTGGCATTGTCTGCCTGTGTATGTGCCTGAGAGTGCGTTTGACAGTGAGTATCCTTGTATGTGAATGTATGTTTCTGTGAACATGTGTATGTTTGTTTCTGGGACCATATGTGTGTGTGGTAGCTGATTGCTGTGTTTTGTGTATATGGGGGGCTGCCTGTGGCCTTTGTGCACTTTGTCTATGGTGAAGCTATGTTTTATAACTTTATGTGTATGATTATTGTCTTCAAGGGTGACTGTGACAGGGTGAAAAGTGGAAACTGTGCAGGGTGAGTTTGACAGGATCAGGGGGTGAATAAGATAGGGTTGGGGGTGAGTGTGAGAATGAGGGATGGCAACTGTGACATGGTTGGAGGAGGGAGTGTTACAGTGTGAGGGGAGGTAAGCGTGACAGGATTAAATTGTTTATATGACAAGGTGAATGTGGCCTGGTTAGGAAGGTGAGTATCATAGGGTTGGGGTGTATATGGCATTATTGAAGTGAGTGTAACAGGGCAATGGGAAGTGAATGTGACAGGATTAAGGGGGTTAATTGACAGGGTGAGTGTGGCAGAGTAATGGGGGGGGTGTTAATGCAACAGGGTGAGTGTGGCAGGGTTGGAAGAGGGAGTGTGACAGGAAGAGGAGTGGGGAGCGTGACGGTGAGTGAAGCAGGATTGGGGGGGAGTGTGGCAGTGTGAGGGGATGTAAGAGCAGTTTGAGTGGAGGGGTGAGTGACAGGATCAGGTGGGATTAAAGCAGTGGCATACACATGACCCATGGGGCCCCGGTGCGAAAATTGATCTGTGGGCCCCCCCCCCCGCGCTTACTCGGCGCGGGTCGGGGCCGCAACACATGGCGGCGGGCACCTGGTCGCAGGGGTTGCAGGGCTGCGACCCCGCGACCGCGGTATGCACACACTTAAAGGACCACTACAGACACCCAGATCACATCAGCTCAATGAAGTGGTCTGGGTGCCAGGTCCCTCTAGTTTTAACCCTGCAGCTGAAAACATAGCAGTTTCAGAGAAACGGCTATGTTTCACTGAGGGTTAATTCAGCCTCTGGTGGCTGTCTCATTGACAGCTGCTAGAGGAGCTTCCGCGATTCTCACTGTGAAAATCACAGTGAGAAGACACTGAACGTCCATAGGAAAGCATTGAGTAATGCTTTCCTATGGGCGGTTTAAATGCGCGCGCGTGCGCCTCTTGCCGCGCATGTGCATTCGGAGCTGAGAGGCAGACACTGGGGAGTCCGACGCTGGAGAAAGGTTAATGCTGAAGACACACTCTCACGAACAGACGCATCCACACTAGCTAACAGACACACACATTTACTGACAGAGACACACTCAGCGACAGACATACATACACACTCACTTACAAAATATACACTTTCACTGACAAACACACACTCACTAACAGACATCAAACACACTCAGTAACAGACACACACCCAATAACAGACACACTCACTGACATACACACACTAACACAAACACGGCAGGTCACTGGGTGGGCTGGCTGGGCGGGCTGGCTGTCTGGGCGGCTGGCGCGCAAGGGAGCACTTTCCCCTGTGTGCTTCCTAGTCAGCTCCCTCGCGCGCCGCACTGATGCCGGCGCCGGAAGATGACGTCATCTTCCGGCTCCGGTATCAGTGCGGTGCGCGAGGGAGCGGAGCAGGGCCAGCCTCGGGGGGGCCCTGAGGTGGCCGCCTCCTGGGCCCCCCAGGAGAAGAGGCTGGCCCTGTGGGTACATAACGGGTCGCAGGGGCGGCCGGGCCCCCTGGTGGGCCGGGCCCGGTCGCAGCCGCGACCCCTGCGACCCTGGTATGTACGCCACTGGATTAAAGTGAGTGTAGCAGGGTTAAATGGGTGATAGTTTGTGGGAGTGTGGTGACAGTGTGTGTGTGAGGAATGATGACAGGGTGTGTGGAGGGGGGTGACAGTGTGTCAGGGGGGTGACTTTGTCTGTGTGAGTGGAGGGGATGACAGAGGGTGAAATGGCAAGACAAAGAGTGAAGGAGGGAGGGTAACAGTGTGGAAGGGGCTGACAGATTGTGAAAGGGGGTAACAGAGTGTGAAAAGGGGTGACAGGTCACTGAGGGAGGGATGGGGTGACAGAGTTAGGGAGTTACAGGTGGCAGAGTGAAGGGGGCAGGGGGCTGAGGGAGGGGGTGACAGGTGCTAGTGTCAGGGCGAGAGGGGGTGACAGAGGGCAGAGTGAGGGAAGGAGGGGGTGACATGGGGTAAAGTGAGGGGGTGACAGGTGGCAGTGTCAGGGAGGGGGTGACAGGTGGCAGTGTGAGGAGGGAGGTGGTGACAGGAAGAGGAAGGAAGCTGAGGGATTGGGAGTGAGGGGCCACAGGGGCTTAAGTGAGGGGTGACAGGGGGCCGAGGAGGGGGTGACAGGACAGAGGAGGTGGGTGACAGGGGGCTGACTGAGGGAGGGGCTCACAGGGGGCAGAGTGAGGGGGTGACAGAGGGCAGAGTCAGGGAGGGAGGGGGTGACAGCGGGCTTAGTGAGAGGATGACAGCGGGCTTAGTGAGGGGTGACAGTGGGCTTGGTGAGGGGGCGACAGGGAACTTGGTGAGGGGGCGACAGGGAAGTTAGTGATGGTGACAGGGGGCTTAGTGAGGGGTGACAGGGGGCTTAGGTAGGGGGTGACAGTGAGGGAAGGAGGAGCAACAGGGCCGAGTGAGGTGACAGAGGGTGAGTGAGGGGAAGGAGGGGGTGATGGGGGCTCCAAAGTGGGAAGGGGTGACAGGGACTGGAGGAGGGGAAGTAGGGGGGACAGGGGGGCTGAGTGAGGGGTGACGGGGCTGAGTGAGGGAGAGGAGGGGGTGACAGGGGCTCAGTGAGGTTACAGGGGCAGAGTGAGGGTAGGAGGGGGTGACAGGGGCTTAGTGACAGGGGACAGAGTGAGGGAAGCTGGGTGTGACAGGGGCTCAGTGAGGGGGGTGACAGGGGACAGAGTGAGGGAAGGAGGGGGGTGACAAGGGGCTGAGTGAGGGGGTGACAGGGGACAGAGTGAGGGAAGGAGGGGGGGGTGACAATGGCAAGAGTGAGGGGGCGACGAGGGCCAGAGTGAGGGGTGACAGATGGCAGTGTCAGGAAGGGAGGGGGTCACAGGGGGCAGGGGGCTGAGGGAGGGGGCGACAGGGGGCAGTGTCAGGGAGGGAGGGGGTGAAAAGGGGGCTTAGTGAGGGGGTGACAGGGGGCAGAGTGAGGGGGTAACAAGAGGCTAAGGGAGGGGGTCAGGAAGGGAGGGAGCTTGCGAACCCCATTCTCTGGACCTTGTGCCTGGGTTGTCAGGCAGGTCCCTCATATTGTAATTAATAAAAAATTACTTACTTATGTAAAAATATTATACAGGTGATAATCAAAAAATTTGAATATCGTGCAAAAGTTCATTTATTTCAGTAATGCAACGTAAAAGGGGAAACTAATATATGAGATAGACGCATTACATGCAGAACTTGGTAATCCTAAATCCTGGTCTGTTAGGGGGTACTTGAGGACTGTGTTGGGAACCACTGTTTTAGGAGATGAAGATGCAATCTGATTTTGATTCAATGTATAGACTAACCCCTTAAGACCGGAGGGCGTACAATTACGCCCTATTTTAGGCAGCTCTAAACGCCGCCATTCGTAATTGTACGCCCTCCGGTTTTTGTTTACTTACCCGGTCGCCGGCGGACCCACGCCGGCGATCACGGTGGGGGGGACTCCCAGGGAGCCCCCCCGCGGCAAGTCCTCCTCCTCCGGTGCACCCTGGCCATGTGAGAGTGAGGTCCTTGCGAGGACCTCACAATCACATGGCCGGGATAGCT